AGACTGACTGGATAAAAGTGGAGTTATTAATGCACGGAGATTTCTCAGCAACTGTCACTTTACCAAGCAGCCTGTCCTAAAGACAAAGAGGATGAACTGAGAATTAACCAGCACCCGGAATTAAGGCAATTAGGAGCGCTTGACATATAATAGCAGGATTGTTCTGAATCATTTCTCTCCAAGCCTTGAATTATGCCTCACTGCCAAGAGATGTGAGATTTTGTTTCAAAAGGAATTCCCCCCCCCATGAAAGAAACCGACTCCCCACCCCTACATTCTGTGTGTTTAATGCATTTGTACCTCCCGCACTTGGACAAAGATAATGGAAATGCTTTTCTAGGTCAGCCGGTGGAGTTTCCTTTGCTCACTTAGGAGTCTGCCCAGCGGTTCTCGAGGCATTATACAATTCTATCATCTCCTGGTAAAGTGACTGGCTAAGCAGAGCTGTTCCTAGGGTCACAGATAGATTAAAACAGAAATGGGTCTTCCAGCCAAGTGGCTGGTTTGAATCAATTAAATGTGCTGGGGCTAGGACTGGCTGAAATGTTTCAATATTTCAATGTGAAAAATAATTGGGAAACAGGCAGAGGATTTTTAGGGGCAGTTTTCCTTTGGTTTTCACCCAACAAGGCAGACATTGGTCTAAGTTTTAAAAAAATGCCAGAGTGGTTTGCTTGGTTTTTTAATGTTTCCTTTTGAAAAATATGGGAAGCCATTTTTTAAAGTGAGTAAATGCTCTCCTGGGCTACGTCTAGACTACATCCCTTTTTCGCAAAAGGGATGTAAATTAGACGTATCGCAATTGCTAATGAAGAGGGGGTTTAAATCTCCCCGGCTTCATTAGCATAAAAATGGCTGCCATTTTTTTCCCGACAGAGCTTTGTCGGAAAAAAGCTCCAGTCTAGATGCTGATCTTGCGGAAAATAAAGCCTTTTCCGAAAGGGATAAGGGATCTTTCGGAAAAGGCTTTATTTTCCGCAAGATCAGTGTCTAGACTGGCGCTTTTTTCCGACAAAGCTCCGTGTGGAAAAAAAGCAGCAGCCATTTTTATGCTAATGAAGCCGGGGAGATTTAAATCCCCGCTTCATTAGCAATTGCGATACGTCTAATTTACATCCCTTTTACGAAAAAGGGATGTAGTCTAGACGTAGCCCTGGGGTTTTGACCAGGGCTAGTTGAGGTCTTGGTTGGATGGTCCAAGGAAAGGTGCCCGTGTGACAAACCCAGAGATCCATGTCCTCTCATTTTCCAGCTGGGCGAGTTTCCCACACACTTGGTCTGCCTTTTCAGTGCATCTTGGTCTGGAAGAACCCATCAATGGAAGATGGAGGGAATTCCCTCTCTATGGCCCGCCCCATTCTTGGGCCTCTCAGCTGAGATTCCTAGCAGCTAGCCCCGATTGTCACAGTCATTTCTGTGAGGTCACTGAATACGCTGACTCATGCTGCAGAGGCCACCGAACAGCTGTCAGATTATGGTGATTTGGTCACTACTCCCTCTCTCTTTCGCTCTGTCTCTAGGCATGCCTGCCTATCTGTCACTGCTCAGCCCATGCTCAGCCTGTCATCTGAAGGCCTTGGTTTGAACTGAAGACCCAGACCTGAGTTGCTCTTGCTTTGCGTTTCAATACCCATCATCCACTCAGACGTAGCCCCACACAGGGAGAGCCGTCACCCACAGGTGTCAGACAGCCCCGATGGATGTCTCCTATTCTGTCCACTGTGTGCATGGCAAAGACTTCTGTGTGGCTTTTTGGTTCAGACCGGCATGCCCAGAAGCAAAAAGCACGCTGGCTCTAACGCAGCGAGGATTGCTAGCCAGGAAATGGCCCCCGAGAACTCGGGCTTAGCAGGGAAATGACAAGTTAGTGAAAGTGCAGAGATGACATATGCAGCTGTCAGGAACACACTACTCCAGCCTACCTCTGTTATCTTTCACTTGTTTCACCTTTTAAAGAGGCTTGGAAGCTGATCAGATTTCCCAGAGGGGCACCTTAGAAAATTAAGCCTCGTGTTATCCCCTGAGACATAGTAGGCTTTACAAATGGAAAAGACCTTGTAGGGTTCTGTGAGGAAGTGGGGAGTTTTGGAGGTTCAAAGGGGGGGGGGGCTGAATGCAGAGGGGTGGCCCCGGGATGTTACTGGTTTCATGTGACAAGGGGAGAGGGAGTTTGTTGTTGCAGAGAACAGCACAGAACCAGCGCCCTGATATCTGGTGCCCTGGTGACCGGCTGACCCCGCCCAGAGGACACAAGGGTTCCCGCCACATGACAGACGATGGGCTGCTGAGGGGAG